TCGTGAAATGGTTGTGGCCAAGAGAAAAGGAACCATGTGAACCCCCCCAAACGATGAACATCGTCATTCATAGTCCCTAAGGATCCAAGTACCCTCTGAGAAGGTGTTTGGGGTGGGTTTGGAGGGTCCAAGTACCTCTTGACGAGGTACTTGGATCCCTAGGGAATCTATATATAGCCTGATCATTCCATTCAGTTTTTGCTAGTCCAAGTCGCCTGTGTTTTGGACCTGTTCCGCCACTCCACGAAGTCGAATGGGTAACAAAGCCCGCCCTGGTTGCAGGTAGCGAAGGACCTTGCAAGTCAACCAGCCAGTCGGTCTGCTTTTGATCCACAACCATCTCAATTTCATGCCCTTCGCGCCGTTTGCGTCGAGGGCCAGGCACCAAAGTGGCCAATTCCGCGTTCTTTTTCGCGCATGCTTTTTCCTCCGTCTCGATTCGACCGTGTGTCGGTGTGTCGGTGTCTCACCATAGAGAGACCAGCCCAAAAAAGAACAAGCTGAATCCTTTTTGATTGATCTCACGCATGTTGACATCCATGCAGACCTCCAAGTGTTCCGAACAGGACCACGATGAGAGCCGGAAAGTACTAATCCCAAGTTACGAGGTATCCCAAAACGGCACCCCAGGTTACGGGTCCTGATGGATGTCACTTCACCATTTTCTTGCGGTAGAAAAGGGAACTCCCCGCAAGTGACCGAACTTGGAGTTCGGCACCGGGTCAGGTCTGGTCGAACTGAACACTCAAAGCCTAACTGGATGGACACATCGAGGACGATGCGAGAGAACCGAATGGTTGGAAGCGCGGCGTCAACAATCCCAAGGATCTGGACTGGTCAACCGTTTGGGGCCCCGAGCCCCAAACCGACCCCTGTTATATAGGCTTCCGCGAACGGGAGGGTCGAGTCGGATCCTTTATAGTGTCAATCTTCTTCCGATTAAAATGTCCGACGAAGATCACCGCTTGTACCTTGTGCCCGAGCTGCGTGACCGAGTGTGGGTCGCCGTCTCAGAGCTTCTCGCGTGCTGATCTGGGCCAATCTGGCGAGGCGTTGAAGGAGGTGGTTGAATTCTTGCTTCTATATATGGAAGAACGCTATTAGGTGGAGGCCATCGCAGGTAGGTTGGAGGCCATCGCTACTAGTAACAAGAAGCTACTAGTAACCTTGCCGCTTGCACCTTCAGAACTTCAGCGCAGAACTTTGCGTGTTGCTCCGATCCGAAGAAAATGAGGTTGCAGTGCGAGCAAAAATATGGGTGGAGTTGCTGACGAACATTGTGACTAAGATACCGGTCCAATTCAAATGAAAGTCTCCACCGGAGATCAAGAAGCTGGCAGTGGAGGCCATCGCTACTAGGACCATTTCTCATTCCTTGGAGCTGCGGTCTCTCCGGAACCCCATCCATTTCACCACGGACGGACGTCTTCGCACCGCGGACGTCCTTTTCGGAGCGCCCCCGCTTAGCGCCCCAGTACGCGACCGGTTCGCCTCGTCCGGAGCGGTTTCCGGAGCCGCGTGGATCCTGACACGACTGGCATGGCCGTCTTTGTGGGACGACCCCTGAGAGACTCAACCACCCCAATTGTAGACAAATATGGCAGTCCCATGCCAGTGGTGTTTGGGTAAAAATCCTTGACTATCTAGATAGCAGGGGTGATCGGGGTGTTCAAACATTAAGGCGTCTGGACCTGAAGCAAATGCGGTTCTTGAGGGGTGTTCACTGTGAACGAAATCCCTTTCTGGGCAGCATGGCGTCGGGGTCGGGAAAAGGAAGGAGCCACCAATGTGGCGTGCAGCATTTTGCTTCAAGCTCCTTCTACTTGCGATTTGCACAAGGAGAGGAGATGAACATTCCCGTCTTGGCCAGCATCTTGGCTGAAGGAGTGCTTAATAAGTGTTGCACTCTGAGCGACAGAAAAAGGAAAGGCTCCCTGACCTCAAACCAGCCTGGTCAGTGTCCTCTGAGCTACAAACTAACCAGTGGTTCGCCGCTTCCGCCGCTTCCCCATCCGAAATCGCCAAAAAGCTGGCTGCGCAGACCGGCCGACTCGTCGCCAGCTGAGGTCTTGTCCACGTGGTCACCGGAGTCTGCCTCGAGGGCGGTATCCCACCCCACGAGCGGAAGAACTTGGCCTCTTTGGTTTCAAGTCGCGAGACGTTGCGGAGGTTCGCGATCGGATGTCGTTCGCGGCGGGTGGTTCATACAGGTCAGGTGCCGGGGAGGGAGGGTGTTCGTCAAGGATTCGGATCCGAGTGATGGATGATGGATGATGAATGATGAATGATATGAAACGTTCTTTTCCATTCTTTTCCAACAACTCAACCATGTCATCAGAATAGTCGAAAGATAAATAATCCCGTCCACCATCGTCCACCTATCAATAAACACGGCCCCCCCTATTAAAAAAACTCGGTCGCATTTTTTTAATAGGGGGTCCCTGAAATCGGGGGGTCCAAAATAGGGTCACCTGGGAAGAGCTTCAAAACCAAAAAGTCATCCAGAAAAGTTTTATATAAAGTCCTTTATTAAACTGGTCTGCTTTTAAAGAAGTTGATAAGTTGATTTCCAAAAAATATTGCATAGGTGCTGACAGACAGGCAAAGCCTCGTTACTCCAATCCAGTCCAGTCCAGTCCACTCCACCACACTCCACCATTCCCAATTCAATTGGGTCACATCTCTCAAATATCTTTTCAAAGACCCCACCTGTCAGGACCTTATAATAATAACAATCACTTTGGAGCTTGGACTCCACCCCACTCCATTCCACTCCATCCACTTCAACCTCAGGTGACAACCTCTGGAGGTACCCACAGAGCCACTGATCCGGAAAAAATATATTTGGTGCTTTTAAGGGAAGCTGTGATCTACCAGGTTGCGACGGTCGCAGTCTGGTAGAACCATCGCTAGCGGTAGTGAGACGCACAGCGGGGTCATGATTTCACTGGACCTGGTTCAAAAGACTGTCCTTCGCAACAAGTGACTGCCACCATTGCTACTTTGAGGGTGCTCCAGCGAAATCAAAATCCCACTAGAGCAATCGCTAGCGGTAGTGATGGTTGTAAGGGCTTGCGACGCTCGCCACTTGGTAGATCACAGTTTTCCTTAAAAACATCAAATACTTTTTCTGATTGCCGGGCCCACCAAGTGATGCTGTGCGTCGTGACTACTTGATATTTATCTGTTTCCAACAGCCACAGACCATCCAAGATGGTGTTCACCTCAGGGTTCCAGCTATTAAGTCTGACTCTTTGCAAATGAGGCCATTGCTATTAGGATCGAGGCTTCTGAATAACAACTTAAAACTTATCAACTTCAACCTTATTAGTGGTGGAGTGGAGTAACGAGGGTTTGTCTGTCTGTCAGCACCTAGTCAGCACCTATGCAATATTTTTCGAAATCAACTTATCAACTTCGTTAAAAGCAGACCAGTAAACTCGTATCAAAAATTCAACAAGCTTCCAGATCGAAGGGTCTTCCTTTTCCCCTACAAAAACCTTATTAGAATACTGAATCTTCATTAGGCTAACAACCAAAGCTTTCGAAAGGTGACGTCGCTGTGCCAAGCGGTTTTGCACGACCTCGGAGGCAAGTGCGTTTGCGTGAGTCCGTGCCATTGGAGAAAGGAAAACCGGCTGGGGTAAAGGCGGCTTGTCACGAGGGAATTTTAGGGGAACCCAATTTTAAAAATTACCCCCAAAATCAACCATGTTGGTAGTTTAGTAGCGTTTTGAAAGGGCGGTAATTTAAAACCAAATATAAACCGAATTTAGGGTTTCGGACGTTGCGTTTTTTTTCCTTGGGGAGCGTTTATTAATAGGTACTCGGGATTATTCCAGGGTAGAGTGACGAGCTTCCCTAGCGGCATGGCATAGGCCACTTGTTTGTCTTCAATAGCCCGCCGTTCGATTGCTTATGATCGGAGAATAGGTGGTGACCATTTCTGGACGTTCGACCATGAAATCTCCGCACGTGTCCTGTGTTTTGGGGTGGATTGAGGACCGGCATTCATGACGCTATTCATGAAAAAAGGATCAAGTTTCAGTGGAAAAATGACTGAAAGTTGCGTGGTTGATGGGGTCCATTCAGGTTTCTGAGAAGATGATTCTGTGAACCTCACTCGATGTCCAAGAACAGTGCAAATCAGGTTGCAGACATGGATGGTCAAGTGATTGGAAATGTTTGGGAATGAAACATGTTTGGTCATTAAGGATTCATTTTTCTGCGATACGCAGCGTTTTGCAAAAATTTCGAGTCAGACGACCAGCGTGGGGATCGGAAGAAGCAGGTCTTCCCATCAGAGATCGGAGTGAAGGCGGGCAAAGAAAGATAGTTACATTGTTCAAAAGGAATTACACTACCTGAAATGGTCATGGTTAGGTGGATGGCATGGCCCCGATTTCAAATCCGAAAGCCAAACATGGAACCTGACTGACCGCCTCCGCGGTCACACTCCACTCTCTTAGCCGCAAAAATCAGCAGGGCGTTCGTTTGAGGAGAATGCCAATGGTGAATCCTACCCCATTGGTATCTACGTTCCAGATTGGGCCGCGTCCTCCGCTGCCAACATTCTGGTGGGAACCATCGTTGAGGAGAACAAGTGGAATGCTCTCCGCCTTGTGGAAACGAACACGTCTTCCCTTCCTGCGAGACGGGTCAACAAAACCTGGGGTGGGGGTCGGACATGGAAATGGTCCAAGAATCCAAATCCAGTTGCCAGGAGATCTTTGGTTTCAACATCAGCCTGGGGAGTGGCACGAGCAGTCCGAGCAGTTTCTACGCCCTCAGTGGTTGTACGGATCCAACCAGCGCCGTCAATCAGGGCTGCAACTCCGAGGCAGTGCTTTGCCTGGTTTTGCTTGATAAACATGGTCTATTTTCCCGAACTGTTTCAATCCCCGAACTGCATGGGGCTTATGTGTTCTTTTCTTCCCGTTTTCCGACTCAGCAAATCCCAGAACTTGGGGCTGTTCCACACGGCAAACCCTGAGATCCATCTCCCATACGAAGTTGGAGGCCATTGCTGGGGAAAACGGGCTGGAACAAACAATGACACGCCGAACATGCGACCCTCGATCAACATCCAGCCTTAGTAAGAACCGTGACCACACGGGGGAGGAAAGGGAACAGGTCGAAGCCATCGAAGCCCGGTCGCCCGTTGCATCGGATTGAAAAGTGCCACCTGAGTGGCTTCGGTTTTTGGTGGCTTCGGTAGGACCCGTTTCGTGGTGCATGTTTGATCAAGCTCTTAGACATGTGTTTGATATGGGCATGTATAGTGGCATGGTATTTAGTATCGTAGGGTCCACCCATATGGGGTCCCATAATATGGTTTTTCTGATCTGGCGGATGAACCGCGCTAGGTTCATCTAAAGGATGGAAAGGGATCCAGTGTCCCAAACAGCAAAAGATTGGAAAGCCACAGAAATCTCGACATGCTGTGCCCACGCCCAACATAGAAGATGTGCACTCAACAGCTGGAACGCCTGCGCAATTCCCACAGACATTGCGGGAACAAATGAATGAGTCGATCAGGATCATGTCAACAATGCCACAAAAGTCGCAAAAAGTGCACCAAAAAACGACTTTAAGTTTGGAGCGCCTTTCAAACCAGCGAAGCAAATGCAAGACCAACAGGGAGAAACCCTCATCTCCAAACTCGTCTCTAACATTCTGAGTTTGGCTCTGAGAATGGGGGGATCGAAGCTGAAGAAACCACACGCCTTGGCACCGAAAAATGCATTTTGAATCGTTTTTGGAGTGGTACTTTAGTAGATGAATGTGAAGACTGCTATATCGTGTTATATCTTTGTGTGCATGTATTTGTACCATGTACACGTTTCTGGGAATGACTCCCTTGCCATTAGTCCGCTCATTTGCAGAGTTGAGGTCAGCAAGTACCACATCAGTATGGAAATTTGGGTAGACCTCTACCCTTTGGCGTGGCAATCGCTTCAAGACAAATACCCCAATGTCGCAGCCAAGAATTTGGGCAATATGGGGTATGATGGGGTGGTGTCTGCCTTTATTCCGAAGCCAGTCCAGAAGGAAGCATACAAGACGGAAGGCGTGGCGCTGCAGTACTTCCGCAATTGGAACGCCTCATGGTATCAGCCTTCCAAGTATTTTGATTCAATCTCAATGATTTCCACAGCCTTGATCAGGCCGGTTGGAGGCCATTGCTATTAGGTTGGAGGCCATCACTATTATATATAGATTTAGAAACTATTAAATTATGGTCTTTCCCCAGCCTTGATCAGGCCATGTAGCGACCCCGTGTCGAATATGCAAGATGATGCAAGCATGAGAAGACACATTCACTTCACCGGCGATGCGAATGGGACGGTCTTCAACAGCACTTCAGGTTCATATTCGGCACGATGCGATGATGGCTACTGGTGGATTGCACCAAGTTGCCGAGCTAACACTTCGCTTTGTGTTCCCTATGTGATGGCAGGGCCGGGGTGGAGCTTAGAGGAGTATATGCAGAAGGCGACCATTTGGAACATGCCTTTTGCTTTGGGTGTGGCAGCTTCTTGGAGTGCTTACACAGAATTCCCATTCATCCATCCGAAATTGCAAATCTAGTGGTGGACTCCAGATCCTACATTTTTAGAGCTTGAACTCCTTTCTGTTGTCTATCCACCACATGACCGAAGAGGCTACCTCAGTGGTGATTATCGCTCGGCAACCAGTGGCATTTCAATTGACAAGCTTGTCAGCAAAGACTTGAGCATTTTGGCACCCAACGTGGAGAGTTTCGTGGGCAACATTCTTGTGACCATGGCCCAAATCAATGCGATGCTCCTCGACCAGAAGAACACCTCCAATAGCTGGCAAGAAACCACATGTCGTTGGCTTCAATCCAACAAGGACCAGGGTGGAAAACAAAAACCGCAACAATGACGTTCGGGCCTCGGAGTCCATCCCTTGGGCTCAGCCTGCATGTTCGGAAACGTTCTTTTCAGCCCAAAAGCCACGGGACGCGTCGACAGCCAAGGGAAAAATCCCCCGAGTGACTTCGGATCTTCATGGGTGAAAAAAGGATTCCAAAATCGAGGGGGTGGTCTTCATGGATCCAGATGGGGTGAACAAAGGAAATACACATGAGTTTAACGAAAGATCCAAACCCTTCGCCCACCGAGAAGGGTCTCTTCGGGCACGACCTGGTGAGCGGTTGTATAAAATGCCGGAAGGTCCAAACACCGGTTCCGCTGTTTGGGCCAAATGGGTGAGGCTCCGGGACCAGGAGCCGGTTGCGGTTGGAGAGTGGCTTCCAAATGGCCTCCAACCTGCTAGCAATGGCCCCCAACCTGGCGATAGCCTCCAACCTACTAGCGATGGCCTCCACCCTAGTAGCGATGGCCTCCACCCTAGTAGCAATTGCCTCCTACCTAGTACTACCTACTAGCGATGGCCTCCAACCTACTAGCGATGGCCTCCAACCTCCCTGATCTTCCGAGAAGCTTGTTTTTAGAAGCTCAATTTTTGGAAGCTAATTTTTTGAGCTGGCAGCTTTAAATTTGAGCTTCTCCACTCTTTGTGTTTTAAACTTGAGGAAGCTTCCAGAAGCTCAAAAACTGAGCTTCTTGGAAGCTCAATTTTTGAGCTGCTAGAAGCGATTTTTTTGAGCTTTTAAGATTTTGTTTTATTTGCAGAAATGTTGCATCATATTGAAACTGCCTTGAACTGTGTTTGCAGTCTTCTGTATCTACCTAATTTTTTACATAATTGGGAACAAATTCTTGCTCCATTTCAAACTTTTGTGGTGATCTGATTTTTCAATTGTGTGGCAGCACTGTGGCTCAAGCTATCTTAGTTTTGCAGCTCTTGCCTGTGCAAGGCTTGCCTGCAGAGAGGCACAGAGATGAAGGTATTTATTTCAGAGAAAGCCAAGGAAGTCCAGGGTGGCTCTGCTTCGACAAAGCCTGCAGAGGATGCCACATTGAAAGCGACCCATGTGCTGAAAGCAACTTTTCCCCATGGCATCACAGAAGAGATGTTTCTTCGAACAGAGGAGGAAGTAGGAGAAAAACACTCAAATTTTCTCCATGGCTGGTTTAACTTTGTAGTGTGTGGTGGGATGAGCAAACAGCTGGAAAGGAAAGCAGTTTTCAAGGCTTTCCCCAGGAGCACCCAAAGCTGTGTGGATGCTCTGGCATGTGGGCAGAAAAGGTCGAAATATGAAGACAGGTTCATTGATGCCTGAGTGGTACAAAGGGCTCTTGGTTGCTTTGCATGGTGGGAGCAAAGGAGCTTCAAGTTCCAGTGCTGGTGGTGCCACCTTGCCTGTTCAGGCAGATCAGCCCATGGGTGAAAAGCCTTGCCTGCACAAGGCACCACCTGCTGAAGTGGAAGAAGCAGATGAGGAGGTCATGCTCACACAGGCAAGTGTGATCACCCTGAAATCTTTCTGTAGCTCTTCGCTGGCCAGTAAATGGCCACCAATGGCATGGACAGGGCTGGTCTGGGGATGGATGGCACAGCCCACAGTCTCAATGGGAGTGGCAGCAAGATGGATGGCAGCAACCTGCCTGGCCTGTGCTCACCACACAACCCTTTGCAACCCAGTACTAGGATTGGCAACAATGAAGGGGTCAGGTTGGTTGAGGTTCCCTTAAGGCCTCACAGGTTCCCTCCAACAAATGTGGGGGCAAGCCCCTTGCCTGGAGAAGGCAAACAGAAAAAGGTGAGGTGACACACGCCTGGCATTCCAGAAGAAGAGGAAGAATGGTCAGAACCCATGTGGGGCGCAAACTCCCAGAGCTCAGGCACCCAGCCTGCACCAGGCAGTGCCTCTATGGGGTCAAACCCCCTTGCCTGCAGAAGGCAGTGAAAGTGCAATGGCCACAGTTTTGCATATCTTGGCCAGTGTGCTGAGCAGAAACAACTGATATGACAATCGAGGGTACAGAAGCCAGATCAGAAGGAACCTCAAACAACCACCTGACAGATGTGTGCCAGGTTCTGGCTTGCCTGCAGAAGTCACTCAAAAGTTCCCAGTGGAAGAGGTCATGCAAACCATGTGAGAGCTGCAGGCATGGGGCACTGGCTCACAAAGCTCCCTTTTGTAGAGGTTGCAGTGGACACCCCAGTTGATGACCCTAGGAAGACTGTGTCAGAGCCACCCACAAGCAATGGATGCGGTGAAATGCCAACTGGCTTGCCAGCAAATGGCATTCTCATCCAAAAATGTGGTCAAGGAAGAAGAGGAGTCTCCAGCTCCACCTTCTGAGCCACCAGCTGAGCACACTATGCCAGATGCTGGCTTGCCTGGAGAAGGCAAAATGTAGGCACTGATGCCCCCATGCCAGATGCTGGCTTGCCGTGCTGGAATCAGTGCAGGTGGTCAATGGCAGGACATAACGGCATCTCAGCTGGTGGCCATTCGAAACCTCGACAGTGGAGAGCCTCAACTTTGTAGATTGTTCAGACCAGTAGGTGGCAAGGCTCTCCACAAAATCCCTGTAAAGGCTTGCCTGGACAAGGCACCAACAGCAGAAGCACAAGCTTCTCCCCTGCCAGTAAAACCTGGCCTGGGACTCAAAAAAAATATGAGCGCGAACCAAAAAATATTAGATAGATTTATATATATATATGTGTAAAATATGTGAATATATATATATATAAACATATGTTTGCTAAATCAAGTATAAGGTTTTTAGGTTTGAAACGTTTCTAGGGAAAACTTTCCTAGGGACATGTTTTATACGTTGCCTTTTAAAACTTTCCAAGGGAAACTTTCCAGGGAAACCTTGGAAACTCTCGCTCTGTAGTATCTGTTTAGACTCTAGTCAGCATCTTGGCACAAGGCATGAAAAGACCTACTCCAGATATGTCCCCGAAACCAAAGGCTCCAGAGACTCATGCCTGGAGAGGTTAGCCTGGTGAAGGCTGACCCTAGTATGGCTGCATAGAGAAAATCAAGAGTGAGCCTTTGCCACCCATACCAAAACCTGATGCTGTAGCAATGGCTAAAAAGCTCCAAAGGCTGGCAGAGAAGGGTGAAAGTGATTTGCCAGGTATGTACAAGAAGTGCAAAACCCAACAAGAAAAGCGTTATTTTTTTGCAACACCTACTCCCTCGACCCTTCAGTCAGCTCCAAGGGAGTCCAGAAACTTGATGAGGACATGCAGACCAAAAAGTCCACAGAGAAGCCTGGATGGTATACAAAGGAGTAAGTGGCAGAAAGCAAGGGGATCCTGCTCTCAAACCTTCGGTTTGTGGAGTTATGTGATGCCAGTGTGGCTGGCCCGAAGGAAAGGCCTCATGAAGACACTGCTTTGGCTGCTTTCGATGTGAAGCAGTACCGGTACACCATCAAAACCTTTGAGATGGTCAAGACAGAAAAGAAAGGCTTGAAGCTCCAAGAGAGTGTCGACACTGTGGAAGAGCATGATTTCAATGGCATGAGGCTGGCCTTGTCTGGAGGCCCCCAGACCAAGATGAGCACTGGATCAGGCTGAGGATGACGAGCCCAAAGAGGAGGAATCTACAAAGAAGAGCCCACACCTTCTTATGAGGAACTGTACAAGTCTAATTCGAAGAAAGCAAAGGCAGCCATCACCGGCTTGACTGCTGAGATCAGTGCGATGGAGATGCTCAAAGCCCAGTTGGAAGCAATTGTCGACAATGAGCACAAGAAGCTCAAGCAAGCTTACTTGGAGCAGGTGTGCAAGCTTCAGACCAAGCTGGAGGAGAGCAAGAAGAAACATGCACATGCCTTTTTAAGCTTTCCTGTGAAGAAGTGACCTGCCACCAGACAATTTGGAAGGAAAAGTCAATGAGTTGGCACAAGCTTCAGCAAACCATTGCTGCTGCCCACAAAGAGGCCAAGAAGCAGTTGGCTCCCATCAAGAAGTGGGCAAACAACCCTTCCAGCTGATCTTGCCTTTGCAAAGGCTTGCCCACAAAAGCCATTTGGTTCACACCTTCTTCGTTGGCCACCCTCCCAGCTGATCTTGCCTTTCCAAGAGCCCCGCCTGTACAAGGCAAAAGGTTCACACCTTCTTCGATGGCAATGACCATGCGCACGAACCTGCGTGGTCAAAAGAGGCTGCAGAGAAGGATGAAAGTGACTTGGCAGCGTTTTTTGCATGTTGGGGTTTGCTAAAGGACCTGTTGCTCAGTGAATGTTTCATTCTGCAGCTCTTTTGGTTTACTGTAAGCCTGCTGTAACATGAGGCCTGTGACTGTGTTTTTTTTTTGTTTGCGTTGTACTTTGCTTGCCTGCAGAAGGCATTGTCTGGCCCCAGCTCAAGCTCCAAAAGAAAAAGGAAGGTTCCTCTCAGGATTGGGGTGACTTTAGTGGTCAACCTTGCGACAAGAAATGCATAGCCTGCTTCTGTTGCCAACGAAAACTATGGCTTCCAAGTGCTACTTGTTGGTGAATGTTCAAGGTGGCCACAGTGACCATGCTGCCTTGGTCGACCAGCTCATGGGTTTTGCTCAGGGGGCTGGCCTGGATAAGGCCCAGGTGGTGGCAAAGAAAAACAATTTTCTGGAGGGTGCCATGGATGTTGACTAGGCATGGATGTTGACTAGGCAGCAAAGCAGCAAACACATGTTTTGCTGAAAAGCGTGCCTGCTGAAGGCATGAGAGCTGCAGGCATTGCACCAAAACTGGTGCACAGACCGTTTTGCCAGTGAAAAGGAGCAAAGGAGCCTTAAGGCGGTGTTGGGTTGGTGGTTGTGATTGGTTTGGCACGGGCTTGTTTCTGGGCTTGGGGGCCTAAGGGTAGATGCTGTAGGGTTGGGGCTAGGGCTAAGCCAAACTCTTTTATAGGGTTGACGGTTCGCTTTTACGCAACATAAACTTAAACTGACCTGCACTACAACTGGTAATTTTAATGAAAACACACGCAAACACACC